GTGTTGTCACAAGGTGGAATAGAGCATCTTGAATTTTGGAGATCTAGACAGACTAATAACTAATAAAGGATTACTCAAACATGTGTGAATGAAGCAAAACACAACTCCAGGTGTTTTTTTGATGAGGTAACATTATAACATGGTTTAAGGCTCACAAAAGTCAATTTTGTGTAATTTCAAAGTCCTAGTGCACAAGATGGCACACACCAATGGATTTATAAACCGTAAACTCTACCCTCAAGAGCACCATAAAGTCACAGTCCATTATTGTCTAATACAAGTGCATGGTCATCCAAACTGTCTGGGTCCTTCGTCTAATAACTCCAGTGTCCTAATGGGTGAGCTATGTGGAAGTCCAAATAATCAAATCACATGAGCTTCAGTTTTATTGATAGTCTAGCTTCTGCGCTGGAAATCCCCAGAGGCTGCACAAATGCTTTTCCATTCACATCCAAAGAGTTGGGGCAAATATGAATTACATATTGTATCACAGCAAAAAGGGAAATCTTAAAATGCTAAAAACAGTGGTGGAATGTAACAGTAAAAGTAGTAAAGTACTGTACTTAAGTAAAAATTGTAGGTATCTGTACTTTACTTAGTGGTACATAGTAGATTTTAAAGAGGATACTTTTTACTCTTACTTCACTACATTTGAGAGCGGGTATCTGTACTTTCAACTCCACTACATTTTTGGACAGGACTGAAAAGCAAAGTAAAAGCATTCAGTATGACCAATTCAGTTAGTTCTGTTGAAACAATTCATCATAAATCTTTATCAACATTGCCACATTTGAAGCCATACAAGATCTCAACAGTGAAACATGACTTTTTACTCCTTAAGTACTTTAATACTTTTACTTAAAGGTGCATTACGTAACTGTCACATGAGTTATTGCTTTGTCTGGAATGTTTCACAGTATGGTATTAAACCTTTCTATCTTCATGAAGACCAAACTAGACCAAGTTACAAGTTACACTCGCAATCAGAACCCTTTTTTTCAAGGTGTTTTTGTGATATAAAACCACCTGTAATTAAACAGCTCTACCTCACATGTATTCATACTGTGGAATCAAGTACTTCTTCCACAACTGGGTAAAATTTAAGCAGCAACAGATTGGTTTAAACTTTGGGGTCAAATAATGCTAGAATACATCTTTTGTGACACACACTTTGATAGTCTTTTTGTGTAGTTTGTCGTCATTTGGAACAAGTGACGCCATTCATTTGACCCTCTGTGCCTATTGACATGAGAATGAATGCTTTCTATCAATTATACTGTTTAAATGCAGAATGTGACCTAGCATGTGAATATTTGACCGCTATGTGCATGCTTTCCCCTTATCTGCATCCTTCTCTCACTTCATCTCCTCTGCCCTTCTCATTCTCTCCATCATCGTCAGATTTCAGGAATTTCCCCTGGGAGCAGCTTGAGTAAAAAATGTGTTTTTCTCTTCTCGTTCCCTCCGTACATCCACTTCCTGACCTTATAGTTTACCAACAGAAATCTCACAAACACAGCTTGATTAGATTCTCGTGATTCTATTGGGAAAGAGGCAGCCCATGACTAAGTGTGCACCTGAAGCAACCCCCCCTCACCTCCCTGTCGCTGACCCTTGACCTTTCAGATCATGAGACCCCGGTGCTGGTCTCTGTCCTGAGGAGCTGGGAGGAAGCGGGCTGCGTTCTTGTGACACAGTGGTCTATGCGGCCATGGAGAGGCCCATTACTGCAGTCACATGGCAGGTTAGCACTGTGCTGATGTGACCATGTGAGCTCTATTTTCTAACGCTAAATGTGCAGCCCGAGGCCTGTCATACTTTCACACACAGGACATACAAGAAGCACATATATTTATAACAGAACACCATGAAGACTCATCATTTTACATACACTTTAGATATACCAGATACTTATGAAAGTAAAGACAGACCCTAAATATATACCTGTTTAGACCCATGCAAGTTGAAAACCTAATTCATTTTTTTTTATATATATATTTACATCTCTAATAATTTACTTAAATTATTTTCCATTTGTTGTTGTGCACTGGTTTAGAAGGAAAGCTTTGTTTGTCTTTGGTTGCATCTAATATATGAGATATTAATCCATATTTAAGAAATTATTCAAATTGATGAAAAAAATGCCATGGCTCTCTAAAAATAGAAATACTAAAATAATTCAGGCACTATTTTCAAATTTAAACCAAAACAAATGAATAAATTTTTTTTTTTAAAACGCATAAAACTTCGACTTCAAGTTTAAACTTGACACGTCAAAAACTGCCCTGAGAAGGTTATAATTCCAGCAATAAACTGCGCTCCAAGGCCCATTATAAATGTGTAAAAAAGTGACTAAATGAAAAAAAAATCTAAAATATTAAAATTGTTCATCTTAATTTTCCGTTAAACAAAAAATAGCCAAGGGCAATAGGCCCAAAAAAAAAAAAAAAAAAAAAAAAAAAAAAAAAACTGAAAATTTGAGTTGATAAATAAGAACCGCACAGTTCATAACTCCTAACTTTGACCAGATCTACATTAAACGTGTTCAAGTTTCTCATAGTCACTCATGATAAAGCAGATTAAATGCAGGCCTATATTCTCGATTAGTGCGCGGGGGCCTATGTTTCTGTTATTTTACCGGCCATATGTATTAGTGTGTAGAAGGGAAATATGGCCTTAAAATACAATAGCATTTGTTTTAAGTTATTTACAAGTTTTAAATAAAAGTTCGACGCACCAAAACAACACTGAATAGGACTGTGGTGAGATTTTGGGTTATGCACAACTGTTCTGCGTAACTGACTATAACTTAAAAGTTAAAAAAGAAAAAAAAATGGCTGACTTTTATTGCCACAGCTAATAAATATACAAGCCTGGCGTGTTAAATGGTATTATTTAAATAATAAAAAAATAGAACGATTGTGTTCAACCACACGACTTTTACGCACCGCGCTAGCGCTCGGACTTAATATAGCTTAGGTCTAAATTATATTATATAAATGTACATTATATAGAACTTTTGCATTATTATTTGCGTGACCAAATGTCACGGTGTGGATTGTTTAAAATGTCCCTGAGAAACAACCTTATTTGCCCTTCGACATGAAAACTTTTCAGATTTTTTGACCTCTTAATAAAAACAACCACAACATTGCACAGATAAACAAAACATTGCACCAGAGGTCAATACAATTCAGAAAAAGAGTAACTACTCCTTGGTGTCCGTGTGCGTAGCAACACCTTGCAGTGTTGGTCTTGCTGTGCGGGCTCCCTGGGGGGCCGTGCATATCCAGATGTCCCACTGCACTAACTGAACACTGTGCGTAAAACCGCAGCCTCCTCGAGTAAATGCGCACAACCACAAGGGCCAAGTGCAGACGCGCATTTTGGACAGTTTGATGCATCACACATATCCACACAAAGGCGGTTCCCTTTTAGCAGTAAACACTCACTTCCTTCCTTCAAGGCCTCGCGTGGGTCCTTTTGGGGTGATGGTTAAGCATGTCCACCGCTCCAAGTGTCCCCATTTCCAAAGCTCATCCCGGGTCTAAAGAAGAGAAGATGCGGAGAGATCCGTGTGTGTCCCGTCTGCAGGCCTTCAGCGTGAGTGCGACTAGTGTCTACGTTCGGACATAAGGGAAGAAGGACGCACACATCGCTCTCTGTTATCAATTTTTTCCATGTTTGCAGCACAAAACTGCTTTTTGTTCCTCATTTTTTTCATTTACGAGGGTTAATGGATAGAGGCTTGGGCGTTTGATCACATGGCTACAATTCACCTGAGATGCACACAAAGGGAGCAAAGAGAGCGCGGAGAGAGAGCTGCAACGCAGACACTGGACACATTGTTGTGTCCGGTTGCGCTTCAGATGCTGTAAAAGTCGATTCTCTTCTTTCAATCAGTCCATGCTTTACGGTGAGGTCTAATCATAGACCACGATGGTGTGCTTTTGCTTAAAAATAAAAACAAACTGTTTTTCTGCCACTTGTCAAGTGATAACGGCCTTTCTGCAAATGCGCAATGGCACATTTTGGTTACACCCAAAATACTTTCTCAAAATAACAGATATAAACTACCATTAAATGTAGCATATTTGCCATAAAAATGTATGGCATACAAAAAAATGAAGCTTAATGTGCCCTAATGGAACTTCTGATACGACGTTTAATTGAAGAGTCCAGCTCCTAAACACCAAACTGTAGATACAGTTATCCTTGTTCAGTTGTAAAATTAACAGCTACTTTGACTTTGATTTACTTGGAATTAAGATTTTATCATCTTTAACTCGACTTCTCTTACAGCAGTGGTAAACACATTGGCTGAGAAAAAAAAAACAAGAACTCATTCGTCAAGTTTCCTGACACACAGAGCAAGACTGCGCAAGGTGAAACTGATATTTGGATTTTGCAAATTTTACTAATAATCGGCCCATAAAGTTGTTGTGGTTTCAGACCAAAGTTAATGTTTCTAATAGGCCTGCAGAAAAAAAGGCCATCACATGGATTGTTTTAATTGCTGTAATATTTACGCTCATTAAACTATTATCTGTGAACTGAGATTTGAGAGTCAGATACAACATTATAACAGAAACTGATAAGGAGTTGGGAGGTTCACGGTTATTCAAAGTGTTGAAGTTTACAATTGCGCATTGGCTTTTTGAGGAAGGCAGCCACGCCGTGCAATAACTCTAGTCATGATTGTTTATTTGTTTGATATTACATGTCAACGCGTCCAACAAAGCAGGCCTTTTGCTGCCTGTAAATGGACGCTCTGTGGAGCAAGCAAAGCCGCTGCAATGTAAAATCTCACCTCTTCTACTTGGAAATGTCCCACTGATGGACGGAGTCACATTAACGGGCGAATCAGAGAGCCCAGGCATAATTACTGGACCAATGAGAGAAGCGCACTAGACGAGTGGGCGGGGCTATCTGTGTATTGGAATGCTGTCTCTCTGGGAATGTTTTCCAGTTTTTTTTCCTGCCAGTGCGTTTCACAAGGCGCTCTTTAAGCTCCGCTGTCGCCACACAGAGCAGCCATTCATCGGCACCACAGTCAGCCACACACTCCCATGTCGAACCACTGGACAGCTCAACTGGTAAGTTATGTAATTTTAAATACTAATTTTACAGATTAAAATAAAATATTTCGCTTAAGTCTTATGTAGATCGTCACAAGTTTTTATAATTTGCCAACTTAGTTTATGTATCTTAAATTAAATTAAAATAATTTATGTTTTTAATTTAAATACCACCATATCATAATAACTGAACATAGAGTTGAAAAAAGTAGTTTTGTTTTGTTTGTTTTTGATTTTTTCAATTTATCATGTTTTTTTCCTGATAGGAATAAATCGTAAAGACGCTTCTGAGCCGCGGATTTGGATACTTTACGCACGGCCATGGAGTTGGTAAAGGAGCAGTGACCACTCGCTTGAAAGACGACAGTAAACCTAATACAGCTGAAAGACGTTGTTTCAACTTAATTTGTTGTTAAAGACAAGATTGAGTAAGAATGTCCGGTGAGGAGCATAGCCTGTCTGAGGCAGAATTGAGTCCCGGAGGGTCTGAAGATGCTCACTCGCTGTCGCCAGCGCACTGTGGAACGGTGGGCACCCAGGACTCGCCTCTGGGCGGACAGCAGCAGCTCACCACCCTCTGCGTGGCTGAAGATTCAGAGGACGGGGTCCAGTCCAGAGCCAAATCGGACGAAGAGGATGATCGCTTTCCCATTGGTATCAGGGAGGCAGTGAGCCAGGTGCTGGACGGTTACGACTGGACACTAGTGCCAATGCCCGTGCGCGTCAACAGTGGAAGCAAAGCTAAGCCGCACGTGAAAAGGCCGATGAACGCCTTTATGGTTTGGGCGCAGGCCGCGCGCAGAAAGTTAGCGGATCAGTATCCACACCTGCACAACGCCGAGCTGAGCAAGACACTGGGGAAACTGTGGAGGTTTGTACAGCCATTCTTTTATGAACAGCGCTACTGTTTATTTTAAGTTGTTGGACATATGCATGTTTAGAAAATAAACTAAACAACGTGTTTAAAAAAACAAGAAATATATAATAGTAGATGCTATAGGCTACCAATATCTAAATCTGTCCTTGTTTCCTGAAGGCTGCTAAACGAAAACGACAAGAGGCCATTCATCGAGGAGGCGGAGAGACTGCGGAAACAGCACAAGAAGGACTACCCTGAGTACAAGTACCAGCCCCGGAGACGCAAGAACGGCAAACTGACGCCTGTTAATGAGTCGGACAGCCAGGGGGAAGGGGAGGCCAGTCATTCCCAGTCCCACTACAAGACCCTGCACCTTGAGCATAACGGGGCCGCGTCTCCTCTGGGCGAACTGCACCATCACCACCATCATCACCACCACCATTCTGCAGGTATACATGTACTCAATATAAGACTCCAAAGCAGCAGGCAATATGTCAAAAATATGTCTATTTTATGAAGTGTTAAGATAATCTTATACATGGAAAATGAAATAAACCTTTATCTCTTCTCTTTAGGTCAAGGTCACAGTCCCCCGACACCTCCTACCACCCCAAAAACAGAGCTACAGTCCGGAAAGTTGTCCGATTCCAAACGTGAGGGTGGTGCAGGAGCATCAGGGGGGTCCAGGGGTGCACTGGGAGTGGGGGCTGATGGAGCGCCTAGTTCTACCTCATCTGGCGCAAAACCACACATCGACTTCGGCACGATGGACATTGGAGAAATCAGCCACGATGTTATGTCCAATATTGAACCTTTTGATGTGAATGAGTTTGACCAGTACCTGCCACCCAACGGTCACCCTCAGAGCAGCAGTGGCGCAGCTGCTGGTGGCCCCTCCACCTCCTCATATGCCTATGCTCTGGCCGCTGCAAGCGGGCACTCCGCTTGGCTGTCCAAGCAGCAGTCTCAGACCTCCCCATCACCCTCAGACCCTGCCAAGGCCCAGATCAAGAGCGAGTCTGCGTCTGGGAGCCACTACGCCGAAGCCTCGTCCTCCCCTTCCTCTGGCACCCATGTGACCTACACCCCCTTGAGCCTGCCCCATTACGGCTCCGCTTTCCCCTCGCTGGCCTCCAGGGCTCAGTTTGAATACGGGGAGCACCAGGGGCCCGGAGCCTACTACGCTCACTCCAGTCAGGCCCGGGGCATCGGAAATGTCTCAAACTTCATACTGTCATCCATCAGGCCGCCGAACCCACCCAAGAGGGGATCTCCCTCATGAGACATGGACCTAGATGGCACCAAGGACTGAGACGAGGGCCCTGAACACGCTCCATGTGGCCGACCCGACCCCCCAATCCGAGCAACATGGAGCCTGGTCCTCAAGTGTTAGGATCTGCCGGAATAAACTAGGACTTCCACGCCGTACCACTACAGTGATTTTAACTATACTTACAAGGCCTCGCTTAGAGTAGGAGCAGTAGAAAGACGTGGAGAGTGCAAGATATAGCCAAGGTGAGGCTAAAAGCGCAGACTGTATCCAGGACTTGATATGCTGAGAGGGGAACTATGTATGGTGTTAATGCAATTCGTCAATACTAAACCAGTGGCGATCATACGAGTATCCTCCAAATAGCTAAGGACTGAGAAACCAGGACTTAACTGCGAGAGTCTAACTGATGTGTCAATAAACCAATGATCCTGAAACCGGAGACTTAAACCAGAGAGTACGCAGTGCCACTCGCCATCGAAGCCAATCGTTGACATGTTCTGTAGTGACGTAGTGGCCTGTGTTGTTTTTTTTTTTGGGCATTTTGATTGTTAAGAATATTTTAACTTTTTAGCACATACAGATGCAAACGCATTATAAAGACCTTATACACGTTTCTTCAAAAAACAGTACTCATGTGTACTTCATATGTCAAAGCAGCACTAACCATCAGAGGATGATGGGTCGAGTATGGAGAATCAATAAACGACACGCGTAAAAAAGTAGAGTAACTCTATAGGTAGAAGATGCACTGAGCTATCAGTGCCATGACAATCTCTCATAGGAAGAACCCACATGTTCCGACGCCACGATGCATGCAGGACTCAGGTATTATTGCCTGCAGTTTAGCACACCAACATATTTCTAATATATCAAGCACAGACTGAGGGATGTTTTACTAATACAAATATAAAACCATGTAGGCTAAATACATAAGAGAGAGAAAGACATTTTTTTAAATTGTCTATCGAGTGATTTTTTTATTTCTTGTTTGTTTTGTTTATCAATCGTGGTATCTAGAATCAGTACTGAAGTAATACGTAAAGTTTCATAAGATTATTTCCTCTTAGTGATTTGTAATAGATAATTGTTAGGTATGAAGATTTTGAAATACGATATCTGAGGAGGACTACTTACCACATCAATTTAATAACAAATATCCATCATATGTCTACCTAGCAGGGAAGAAATAGTTGCAATTTCCTGATGTCAAAAGTAAATGTCTCTTCCTATCGATCGTTGGTTAACAGCCGGCTGACTGGCCAGATCTTTAACAGATGGGTTGACACATGGTTGTATTTCTTACCTTCTTATGTACTGGTGAGATAGTGTCTGTTTTGATGTGCTTGCTTCATTTTGTATGATACTAAATCCTTATAACTTTGAGGCAGTGACCTAAACTTTAAATAGGCGATTGTCCTTCACAACGAGGAGTGCAGAAATTTAGCTCTGACCTGCCGCGCAACTCCGTAGAATTGATGGTTAACGCCATAGAATGAAAGCTTCTTTCAAACGAGAAGATATATTGTGTGGTTGTCTTATGTCTTATGCTCCTTCACAGCTCCATCTTGGTGGACCTACTCGATAAAAAAGTTTACAGTGCACGCTTTTAACCTCTCTACAGTTTTACTTTGTTGGTGCCAAATGTCAGAAGAAGTGTGCGCTCTCTTCCAATCTTCCAACAATTGCAGGCTGTGCCAGTGACTATAAAATTTGGAGAGGAAACCTGTGGTTAAACAAAACCATCAAGTTATCTGTTACCACACTGCTGTCTGGACTATTTAACTCTACCTTTCAGCAATATATGTCATCTAATCCTTATACGTTTTGGTCACTTGTTTATCCAATCCAGCTTCCTTTGTCGCGTTCTTAAACCCAAGAATGAGTCTGAGAACAGGGGTGTAATCTGACAGGGGAGGGGGGGGTCGGCGGTCGGGTGGGGTGGGTGTTTGGGGGGTCGGATGCGTGTCACCTTGACTTTTTCACAGTGACAATTTAATATGCAACTGTGAAAGCTGCTCTGTTCCAACGCCACTCAAACTCCCTTCAAATGGGCGATAAAAAGGAATCATTGTTTCGCGGTGAGAAGTGTCTAATGCCTAATGCGTCTTCATTGTGGAGCTTCGATGAAGAGCATTATGCGATGAGGGATAGGGGCACAGGATATTGAGGCATGTCCTAGAGCAGCGGACCACGCTTGTGAGGTCACTTGGGATTTATTTCATTCAAATCTATCATTCTGTGAGAGCTTGGTTGTCTCTCTACTTAATCCATGGCCAACGTCTCTTTTCCTATTCTGCATTTACCCCAGACATATTGTAATTGGTAATTTAAGAATGGTGTCATTCACATGGTATCTTGAGTCCATCTTAGTTCTCAAAACTCTATTAAGGCACCATTGCAGGCAATAACCAGATTTCGCAAGATTTTTTCATGCCATCGATGACGGGTAACAGTCGCAAGAGCCAACTCTATTTCATGCTGACATTTTTTGGGACTGATATGTAGGGTTGGATGAAAACGATTACTTCTTCCTTACTGCACTCTGTACTAATTGATAGTTTAAACTATTTACTACAAACTTGCACTCCAACTGGTTAGGCAATGCCGTAAATGGTAGGTGCCTCACACCTATTCTCTACCTCCATGACATCCTATAGTTCCCATTTTGTGCAGTTCTCATGTTTCCTTTCAATATTTAAGTAAAATATAACAGAAAAGTTCGGCTTTGTGTGCTGGTAGAGTTTATAGCTCAAGACTTGTAAAATGCATCACTCCCTTGAGTATCATGTTTGCCTCTGCTCGAGAGACTTTTCTCCTTTTCTACTCCTCCAGTGGGGATAGAACAGGATCACAGAAGTCCAGAAATATGTTCAAACTAAGAAACAGTTTATATGCTCTGGTTAACGTTCACTCGGTATGTGCGAGTCCTGTCACCAAAGTTCCACAAATTCAATGAATAGCACATTTTCAATTTTGTGGTTGAAAACCAGTTGCTGAGATGAGGATTTAAAAGCCAGAACAAAGAGAATGTTAGTGAATTTTATCAAGGGAAAAAGAATGTATATTATATGCCAGCTTACATTACGAGCATGGGATTTGGGAAGAAGACTTAATAATATGACGGTCGCTATTTAATAGTATGCGTCAATCCGACCAAATAGTGCCGCGATTTGGGGCATTAGAAACACCATATAAAAAAAATAACCAGTGTGAGACGTCTATACCCATGCGAGCAGAAAGATATATTTCTAAATGCCGTGCGAGATCAGAACTGAATGTGTCTCCTCGGTAGAAGTCGAAACTAGCTGATGAATCAAGGTCGTTGAAAGAACGATGTGAATAATTATAAACATGCAGACCATACTTATCCTCAAAAATGGGTATTGTCCAAAATTATGACACATTAATGATACCAATTTGTTGCTCATACAGAGACTTATATCTCAAGAGAAAGCAATATGTGCATATTTTATGTTGCATTTTCAAGGCTACGATGTAGGGGGCAGCTTAAATTCTATTAATGGTTTCCTTAAAATTACTACTAATTCCCCACATTTAATCGGGCTGGGGACTGCGTGTTACTGAGAAGACAGAGAGCCATTCAGTTGATGGAAGGAAAGGACGGCAGAGAGAAGGGGTGGGTGGTAAGCAGCCAGGGGCAAGGCCAATTTCAGCTCAGAAAGAAGTGTACACTGGGTTTTTCTAACTCACCTGAAGTCAGAAGGGAGAAGATCATTAACTAAAATAATAATATGCTGATATTTAAATAATACATTAAAAACCTCACATAATTACAAAATCTTTTTTTTTATTTTCCTATTCAACAAGAATATCTGAACATGTTTAGCGCATCGTGCTTAATAATACCGTGGTTGATAATCTTTATCGCTATTATAATTTGTAATTGTTGTAAGTTGGTGTACTTATCGAGAGGAGGTGTCGTTTAGTCTGTCAAATAAGCTGACGGCATCAAGCGAGCCTGGGGAAATTGTAATATGGTTTTGAATATTTGTCACAATATGTGCTTATGGATTGATCATTGGTTCTATAGTACTTACATAATGGTGGTTTGTCTTAAATTTATTTCTGTCACGCAAAACATAAGTATACAAGATTGGTTAGCTTACAAACGACTTAGAGCATATAAATATAACACAATATCCATTAACTCAAAATGTTCAAATGATATTAAGATACACATCCTTATGAGTAATGGCATTTAATAGAAAAACAAAACACTCTTAAATTATGTTAGCTCCTCTGGTCCACATTCGACATATTCTCATATATTCCAGCTATGGTCACACTCGCAGGTATCATGGCATGTAACGCGAGCATTATTGTGCAAACAGCTGTTTTTCTGTATTTGTCCACACTATTCAATAATTGTCTGGTAGAGACGAGATGGATAATTTCTGGCACAGACTGCCTGGGCTAAGGGATCAGTCTTCAAGTGTCCACTAAGCAGGCAAATCTCTGTTTGGTCGCCTCTTGATGTAGCCAACATCCATTGTATTATAACATAAGTATATCCACGGGGTGCACCTTATGTATTGCAAATATTATTAATATAATAATGAGATTTAATAATTTCTATGTATTTTATTTGTAATCTTTATATGCTGGACTATAATGTGCAAAAAAATAAAATCTTCATTAAGTCAGCAATACCTTCCTCTTTTACACACACACAAGAAATTGACGCAATTAAATAAATTTATATTAGATTATATCGAAGGTACAGTGGGTCAATTATAAATCGTATTCTAGAACACACCTTACTCCGTAGATTCTGGTCTTAGTGTAGCAGACCCACTGGAGCCTTATGAGTAGAACTTAGGCCAGGATGTGGGATTTACACAACTCTTAACACTTTGTTCACTAAGGCTTAGACGGGCATTGGTCATATCTTGTACGCTTATTATTGATTGACAGCAAATGATCCACCTCAGATGTATAATTCTAACCCCTGTCACCACTCACTCAATGCTATCACAGTTCTTTTTTAG